CTCTCTCTCAAATTGTAGGACTTTAAGAACCCTTACACTCTCTCTCTCTCCTTCAAATAGTATGACTTGAATAACTCTCTCTCTCTCCCTTTCAAATTGTAGAACTTGAAGAACCCTCTCTCTCTCTCTCTCACCCCTTCAAATAGTAGAACTTGAAGAACCCACTCTCTCTCCCCCCTTCAAATTGTAGGACTTGAAGAACCCTCTCTCTCTCTCTCTTCAAATGTGTAGGATTTGACAACTTTCAGTTAATGGAACCCACAAGTACCTGATAAGCTCCAATACAATCAAAAAGAAGAAAAAAAAAGTTTCTTCGAAGTTCAAGACCCACATCAAATCGTTCAAGAAGCTTCTCGATTGCTAGGTTAGTTATTCATATCAGTGCTTGATTACACGAACAGCGCCCCGGAACTGGTTCCGGGTGACCCGGAAAAATCAAGCAGGTCTTGGCCAGGCCAAAAATTATTTAAGAAATATAACAAATATAAGATAAAAATTATAATTAGAGTAAACGTAAACAGAACACATCTAAAAAAAGTTACCAAAGTAGTGAAAAAAAGGATTTTGAAAAAGAAAATTTGTATAATCCAGAGGTATTTTTTAAATAATCCACAGGTATTTTTAATATATATATATATATATATATATATAAGTATTTATGGTCCAAGTAATTATGGTCCAAACAATTTTCTATCCTTCCCAAAATGATAAAACCATTAGAAATCACATTACAAATAAGTTTTTTTTTTAATAATTTTTTGAATTTTTTTCAACAACTTGGAACTTAACCACAAGGGCTAAAACTAGAGTGGCAAGAAGCTGGTTTCGCGTAACCCAAGCAATTCCAGCTCACCATGCGGAATCGGCGGGAATGGGAGCGGGAACAAGCCTAGTATTTTTTAACATTTCAAATGGATGTATAATGTGATAGGGGATGATGCTATTGCAGAAGTGTCTCCTGATGCACAAACCCTCAACACCTGTAAAATCTTTTTAAAATGGATGTGGTTTGTATAAGGTTGTAATACTAAACAATCAAAATAAGGCGCACAATTCAAATTTTATCATAAATATTTTAAATGAAATAGATTTATAAATAAATAACAAACTTGAAAATAGACACTCCAGATGATATGTTTTAAGATATACTATTTTTAGAACTCAAAATCTCTTTTTTCATTTCATATGGACACATCTCAATGTTAAGATGATCAATTAGAGGGTTTTCCAATATCAAGACAACTTTTTATGATGAATTTTTTGATGTGTACCTTAATTCTATATTTTAAAGTTGCAACCATATAAAAACTTTTCCTTTAGAAACCCCACTGGAAAATATAGTTACAATCTTTAGAACCCCACTAAGAAATATTTTTCTAGAGGTAGATTTCACTCTTGATTGTAAAATTTGATGTTCTAAAAAATGGTTTTGAATGATATAGGGGATCTATAAACAATTGAAACTAAAATATTTTTAAAAAATATTAAGAGACAACATGATTGCTAAAGTCGAGTTGATCAACTGTTATGTTTTCAAAACAAGAACTATATTTCTCAATGAATTTTGAGGTGGAGCATCATAAAGCCACGGGCCTACAAAAATACTTTTCCTTTAGTGACTAGAGTTCCTCTGCCCTAGCATGCTGTAGGGAAATTCTCCTAAGTCTAGGCTTTACTTGTAAAAGCTTTTGAGGCAATTAATTGTTATTGGATTCCAATGTTCCCTCCTCATCTCTCTCACTCTAAATTGTTGTTGGATTTCAAAGTTCTCTCCTCTTCTCTCTCTCTAACTTGTTGGATTTCAAAGTTCTCTCCTCTTCTCTCTCTCTCTAACTTGTTGGATTCCAAAGCTCCCTCCTCTCTCTACATTGTTGTTAGATTCCAATGTTCCCTCTTCACTTCTTCGTACCTACTATATATATATATATATATATATATATAAGAACTCCTAGAAACAAAGGATTAAACATTTGATTGTGATTGTGCCTATTCTAGGTACTGGGGTTTATGCATTTGGCTGTGCTCTTTTAAAAAGTTTGCAATATATTTAAGCAAATTTCTTGTGCTTATTCTAGATGGATGCTAGGGGTTTAGCATTTGGCCTTCCTCTAATATTAATCTTCTATGGATGTTACTTATTATATTATTCCATCTAAGTTTCTAGCTAGCTCTACGTGACTTTTAATTGAGGTGGTTATGGAGAATTTATCGCAACTCAGTAGTGAAGAAATGTCCTCTCTCTCTCTCAATATTAGAATGTTTCCATCTAAGTTTCTAGCTAGATTTTGTGTGCTTTAATGTTGTGATAATCGAGAATTGGTCAAAAGTGAACAA